CAGAGAGAGACAGAGAGACAGAAAGCGAGAAATCACCCCCCAGGGGGGATGGTCACGCCGCACTCCCTTCTCCTCCATTCTCCTCTCGTCTCCTCTCGGGATCTTGGGCACGCACGCACACGCGCCCGGCGTGAGTTTTAAGCCACCAGGTCCGGGATGCGAACCGCGGTCGACTACGTGGGAGTCCAGCGACATAGCCATTACCCTAACTGCTGGTTCCCCAATGAGCTTCTCTTTTGGGGCATCCTGGGTGGCATACGCATAGCAGCCTGGATGTCTTGGTAAACTTCTCTTTCAGCAAAGGAGGAAGGAGGCGAAGCAGGGACGAGGCAGGTTCTGCTAAAGCAGTCCCAGTGTGATGATGGGTTTTGTTGTCACTGCCCGCGCACCGAGCCTAAGACACAGAGAGGAGCCCAGTTGTTCCTGCTAGCTAGAGCACGGTTTCCTGGTGGCTTGTTTGCGACTTCCTAGAGTACATTTAAGTAGAACTGCAGCGCTTGTAGACGCAGAAGCCACCCACTAGTCGTGGTCCCTTCCTGCTTTTCACAGAGCTTTGGTGCTCACTTGAGATGGTTCTGAAGCTTCATCTACTGGGTCCGAATGTTGCGTATCGAATTGTCCGTCTAATTTTGATGTAAGTGCCTCAGAAAGACGCCAGCTACCCATTAACTGAGTGGAATATCTGTAAGTCCTCACTAATCCTCTCCTATCACACCGTCTTAGGAGAGGCCCATGAGTCAACCTTAGCGTACCCAGGCATGGAGCTGTCTCGATTGCTGAGAGCCATGAAGGCCGTCTTGGAGAAGCTGTAACGACGGACCCGCAGTTACATGATTCTGTCTCCACCTTTTGTCTCCGTGTGCAGATCGTGTCCCAGAGGAAGCTGTCCAAGTCCTTGCTGAAGCACGGGAACACAGCGGGCAAGTCCTCCATCACGGTAAGCCCCCCCGAGGAGCCCTGGGCCTTCCCTGGCCCGGAGGGGCTGTCGGGGTCAAGCTGCATGCTCGGGAAGCAGAGCCGCTGGCTCTGGGAGCTCATGTCACAGCAGGACTCGCCAAGACAGCTCTTCATTTCCCTCTGTTTCCTAACAATACAATTTTGACCTTTCTACCCTTGGGAAAAATGGGAAAGAGAAAGGATTTCGAAGTGAGTTTCTTTACTTCTGCTAAGCACTTCAACAATTGCAAGGTAAGTCTTAGTGGGGAAGAAAGATGGAGTTGTCAGGCGCAGTGAAATTGTGAAATTGTCTGGAGTGTTCAAAGCATCACAACTGCCGATCCATGGGGAGTCATTGTTTTAATTAAAGCTTTGCTTTAATAGCATTTAAATTTAAGGTCCGCTTTGTAGCTTAAGGACCAGAGAGCCGATCCAGTAGCCCCCATCACAGCTGACTGACTAAATTTAAATAAAATTAACTTAAATTAAGTAGAAACAAATAGTTCCTTAGTCACACTGGCCACATGTGAATGGCAGATCCCATACTGGGCAGTGCAGGTCAGGGCGTTCCTACCATGGCAGAATATTTCGTTGAGAAATTCCAGGCGTATTTCTAAATAATAGCTTAAATTTTCAAATAGAGCTCCTGATATTTGAAGTTTTGACACCTTGAATTAGAGACCTTGAAAAAGATAGGAAAGATGGTACAAACATTTAGCTGTGCGTATATATGTAAAAAACTACAAAAAAAGTAGGTGAAGCACCAGGAGAAGCTGAATTGCGAGGGAGGTGACTTGCCGGGAGGTAGAGAGCTCCCAAGCACCTTTGATAGTACCCTTTTACCTTGGGAGTGACTGATTTATTTAAAAGAAAGAAAGCAAGCAACTTCTTAAAAAATATTCAAAAGGGCTTCCAGGGGTGAACGTTTTGGCTATTTTCTCAAGAACTTAGCACAGTTTGTTGCTTGAGTATTCTCTGTGGCGCTGTCATGTTGAACCTTCTTGATGGCCATGCTTGATCATGGTCTTTGAAGACCCCCAGTAGTGCTCTTAAAAGCCATGGACCCAACGGCTCAATCCCAAGGCACAAGCCCCATGAACTGAGGTGTAAAATGTCTACCATTGTTTTTCAGGAGGATAAAACCTCATCTTGCCACCTTTATTCTAAAACATCTTGGAGATTTTCTTCTCCCACATACCCCAGGAAAGTTCAATGTTCTTCTTAATTTTGAGTATTAAAATTCTCCTCTTAATCTTGGATCCTTGGATTAAAACACTGGCTTCTATAACTTCTAGAAAGCATTTGAAAATGTGTGTGAAATCCTCTAGGCCTCTATAGATCAGGAAGGTCATAACCTCATCAGCGTTCTGTGGGTGTCAGTGACCACGAAAGAGTTAAGGGCCACTATTCCATTGGGGAGTGAGAGGCATCAAGGTGGTGAGAGACAGAAAAGAGCCCAATGAAGTGTGAACTTGGTGGTTCCTGGGTCACGGAGCAGCCCTCACGCATCCCGTGTTCTGGGACTCGTGTTCTCGCTCACGGTGGCTCTCAGTCGGTGGGGGCTACCCTTCCTTGGACCACCATTTTAGCTTTAGTGTTTATTATATGTAATTAACTTAAAATTCTCAGAATCTAACAATAGTATTCAAAGCATATGGACCCAACTCATAATGAGAGAGTCCATGCAGAATGGAGATACTACTGAGTCGAACCTCAGTGTCTCAGCATAACCAAGTGGATGAACGTGTCCATGCCGTGTGGTCTCTGAATACAAGTGGGCTTCGAGAAGTTTCTAGAAAAATGGAATTGAGTATGAGTTTACTTTGATGCAAAAAAAAATTTAAATCCACACTTAAGTTTTTTGTGATATGCATTTCCATGGACTTTTTGAAGACTCCTCACACATGGTAGAGCCCTAATATTATTTTTAAATGGTTTAACCATTTGCATCTAGACTGACAGGATTTCTGTTGATTTTGTTGTTGTTTTTCCACTGACTTTTAAGGCAATTTCTACTCTCAGGCTTTGAGCCAGTAGCTATTATATATTGGAAAGTGGCTTAAATGAAAGGCCTTCTTGGATAGTATTATCTCCTCACTTACACCAAGTGATTGTCAGGAGTTCCTGGGTGGTAAGGGTTAGATTCTTCTCTCTTTCTCTATATCTGCATCTGTTTCCCTCTTTCTGTCTGTCTGTCTCTCTCTCTGGTTAGATTCTTCTCTCTTTCTCTATATCTGCATCTGTTTCCCTCTTTCTGTCTGTCTGTCTCTCTCTCTCATCTTAGATATCCCAGGGACGGTCTTTTGAAAATAAGAATGAGAAAATTCCCTTGGGGCAGGAGGGAGACAATCCCCATGACTATATAGCCATTGATCTGGAAAGTTTTCCTCATCCCTGTTTGTCTGACTCAAAACCATGAAGAAATAGTTCCACTCTTCTTTCTTTGTAACTACCCAAAGGGAAAGATACGTATAGGTGTTCGTGGAAGTGCCGTTGACTGCCATGCAAACTCTACAGAAGACACTCCCTGGCTGCTGCGTCTGCTGTCTCCTCCGTCAGTCTGGGTCCATCTCCCATGTGCTCATATTCAGCATAAGTGAAATCTGGTCATCTACTAGTGTCTGCGTCGGGCATTCCCTGAGCACCGAGCACACTGTGCCAGACTCACGAGGTGGCGGAAGAGCTCCTTGCCCACCCGGCATGCCTCGTTGAGTTGGACCAAGCTGAGCTGCGGCTCCTCGTGGGCCCCTCTGCTGCGGCTGACTGTGCTTTCTCCTTCAGGTGATTGCCGAAGAGCTGTCTGGCAATGACGACTACATTGAACTCGCATTCAACGCGCGGAAATTGGATGACAAGGTAAGTGTTGGGTATTAACCTTATTGGAGGAAGTAATAAAGCCAGCACCGGGAGTTTAATCAGATTTCCCCCCACAGCTAGTTTTCCCTTTCAACTCACGTTATTAAACCACCAAAGATTTTGGCAAGGTCTGCAAAGTAAGGCTTCCCTAAACTGAGAAGCGGAAGAAGATGACTGTGATCAAAATAGGGCAGTTGTATTCCACCAAGAATTCATTTTCCAAATGCTACGAGCCGGGTAAATGTGATTTAGCTCCATTGCTAGGGACAGTCAAAGAGAACAGAGAAGACCGCACGGGAAGCAGGCACGTTTCTAAAGCCCCTGGACTTCCCGAGTGCAGGGCTAAGAGCTTTGCATGGTTGTTGCCCAGTCATTTGTGTAGCTCCCGCATAACGTCAGTGCACAGCACGTCACTAGCATGTGACACGTTATTACCACGTAGCATATTATTAGCCCTGGTTTGCAGGTGAAGAAACAGGTTCACAGATGAAGCAACTTGTCTAAGGTCACTTAATGTGTCAGTCTAATCTGCCAAGAAACAGAGCCGAGACAAGATTAAGACCCAAGGACGTGTCAGGAGGAACAGCTCTGACAGGAGCGTGACGGGGACGTCTGGGGGAGCCAGTGCAAGTCACCCTGAGTGAGGGCAGCAGGAAGCCCACCCTGGGCAGGAGCTTCCGAGGACGCCGGGCAGCGTACGGAAAGTTGAGCAAGGTCATCGAGCATCCTGGAGCCAGATCAAGCTGTAGGAACGTCCCACGTGTCCCAGGAAAGGGCCTGCCTCGGTATCCCCAGGACATTCAGTTGCTGGCTCAGAGCAGCCGCCAGGAGTCCTGGCCTTGGCAGAAGTGTGGAAATGGATCCCAGGTTTCAGTCCTTGTAGTTGGAAGTCAGGACACATTTCTGTGGCCACCGAACCCGTATGTAAATGGCGGCATGAGGACTCAGCCCATGTCAGTCTGGCTTCCATCTGAGGCATGTAAGAGAACAAGGCCTCTTGCAGTCTGGCTTCAGGGCTTTCCCGTGAGAGTGGGGTGTGCTGGAAAGCTGAGGCCGAGGACGGAGCTCCAGTAAGAGCAGCAAAGAGCTGCTGCAGACAAGAGACCTCGCAATCAGCCCTGCTGTGAGGATGGACATGAGCCAAGAAAGGAGCAAATTCAGGGATGTCCCCAACCCATCGCCCGTGGGTAAGAAAGCCAGAGGTGGGGCCAGCAGGGGACAGGGCTTAGGCACTGGGTTTCCACATGGCCGACCACAGTTCAAGCCCTGGACTCACACTAGGAGCGTGCGCGAGCCAAAACCCGACAGAGGAGTGGAGGAGCAGGAGTTCCAGCAGGGCCGTCCCCCAGCGGGGATGCCCCCCGCCCCTCTCCCTGCTGCTCTCCGTCTGTCTCTCCAGTGAGCACATGTGCCCTATGGCAAAAACCCTGAAACAATAAGTAAAACAATAGTAATGATAATGATAATAGCAGCCAGTGATGGTTGGTTAAAAGCCAGAATAACCTGAAGTCAAGAGTTTGCACGTCAATTGACCTGAACCCGCTCTAGCCAGAGAGGCAGCCATCTTCCCTGGAAGCTGGGGGTCTGCACCCGCAATCCAGCCCCCAGAAGCACCTCAGCCAGGGAGAAAGTCAGGCCCCCCAGAGAGCCACTGTCCTCGCCAGCCCAGCTGGCCCAGCCATCACCCTGCAGCAGACGAAGAGATTGTGAAGTCAAGCATGGAGCCCACAAGGACGAGGAGGCCCGCGTGGACGAGGAGACCAATGTGGATGAGGAGCTCCGCGTGGACGAGGTGACCCACATGGGTGAGGAGCTCCTCGTGGACGAGGTGACCCACGTGGATGAGGAGCCCCACATGGACGCGGTGACCCGTGTGGACGAGGAGCCCTGCGTGGACGAGGAGCTCCGCATAGACGAGAATCCCCCGCGTGGACAGCAATGTGATCAAGCCTCCCTTTGAGGTGGTACAGCTGAGCTACGTGGAGAGAATGTAAGAGGCCTCCCCTGCCTGCAGTGACGTGTCCTCCAGTCCCCTCTATGAAGGATCCGGTGTGGTCTGAGCTGGGTGGAGGAGGTGGAAGCAGCAGAAACTGAAGGGGCCGTGAAGGTGAGGGGGCGTGAGAGGGAGGGTGAGGGCGATGAAGCGCACCCTGTGGAAGGTGACAGTGAGGGCTGAGGAGCAACGTGGCAAAGTGAGAAGGTGGCACAAGGGTGGAAGATAGGGCCCTGGAGGCCTGTGTCACCTCCCGAAGGGACAAAGTGCTGCATGAAGAGGCTGCGACAATCGATTCTGTGCGAGGACCAGGTGGAACAACAATGTGAAGGGTGACAATGACACGTGTGTTAGAGGGTCTTCTCATGGAAACCCCGGCGGCCCAGGGTCACGTGTGAAGGTAAGGCCTGCCTAGAGACCGGCGAGGTGACAGACCAGACACCGCACAAAGGGTCTGTTCCAAACTCCACGCCCACGTGTCAGTGAGGACCATGCCAGAGGTCACGGCAGACGGAATCTGGAGCCGGGGTGGCCCAGCCGTCTATACCAGGCTGGCTCCTGAGAGCAAACAGCACAGCAGCCCAGGTGGGAAGGAGACGAACAGCTACCCTGGCCCACCTACAGCAAACGGTGTGTCGCGATGGGAGGTACCACTCCAGTAAAGCAATAAAAAAGGTCAGAACACATGACTTGTAAAGCTTTTGAACTAGATGACATAAAACAGTAAATAAAGGAAATTGCATGTGTGTGGTCAGGACACACACAAGAGTAATTGATTTCTACATATGTTCGGAAATTGCAGTGTGAACATGGGAGAAACACTACCCAGCTCTAACAGCGGATATGGGAGACCTGGATCTTCAGTCTCTGCAGCAACTCAAAACCACCAGTTGCCTAATACCTCTGGGAGAGAGCCGCTGGTCTAATCCGATGCTCTCTACTATAGACGAGAAAAACTGAGATTCAGAGCTGTGCAATGACTTACCTAAAACTGCACACGCCTGAGAAGCGGAGACTCAGTCGGGTGGCATCACTAGCCCTGCACCTTCCTTCTAGGCGTAGAGCGAGCAGACTGGACCAGCCGTGGCGGTGGCACACAATGCCCACGTGTCTCAGGGAAGGGGTCAGGCAGGACAGGAGAGGCGTCCTGCAGCCATCAGTCCTCGGAGTGCGGGCCAAGCTTCGAGCTCCCTCCCGGGGAATCCGAGCAGTCACAACTGTTTTAGATGCTCCCCGGTGTGGGTAGTGGTTAGGGTTTAGTGCTCTCAGAACCGTTTCATAATAACACCCAGAGATCTCTCCTCATTCCCGTTCCCTCGCACACAGAGGCTGCACGGCATCTAATACCACAGCAGGGTGAGGGTGGAGGCCGGCAAGCGGATCCTGCCGCCTGTCTGTTAGGCCAGCCGTTGAGTGGATTCACAGAACACAAGACAGCACCATTCTCTGTACTATTTTTAAATCTGGGGAAATAGACTTGCTGTTCCATGAAAAGATCATATTTATAATGTGGAAGATTTATTTTTAAATAATAAAAATAATATAACAAATATTTTTTAAATTTCTCGGTTTCATAACGTGATTAATATTGAGAGATATAACCCACATAAACAGAAGCTCTTGGGGTTCTCAGTAATGTTTAGGAATGCGAAGGGGTCCTGGAACAAGGAGCGGGAGAACTACCACTGTAAGCCTGCCAGGGGGACCGGGCACATTGGCCGAGCTCGGCAGCAGAAAGGCACCCTCTCCCTCCTGACAACTGCCATCGTAGTTTGCCTTTCAAGGCTGTCCTGTGGACCTGCAGTCTACTCGGGATGAAAATTCAGAGTTCTCGAAATCTGGAGGCAATCTTCAAAAGAGCCAGTACCTTAAATAGATGAAGTTCATGAGAAACAACTGATTTATCTAATGCTAATACAACTCACTTAGTAGAAAGAGGGCTTTTCTAATTTCAAAAGCAAATTTATTCTAGTAGCGCTAGTTGGCACTTAATCCGAGTGGCTGGGAGTGTGACCACCACGTGGCACGGCCAAGCTGACTGTGTGCCCGCTCCCCTTCCCAAGAAAGTGGTTATCAGATGTGCCAGAGCTGACTCGTAAACGTCCCCGTCACCGTAACAGTAACGATCGCAGACTGCATTCCGTGCTCCCCGGCTAGTCCGATGGGTGCTGTAGGAGTGAACCAATCCGTCTGTAAATCAGAGGTGGACCAGTTGTTTTTGTAAAGGGAAAGATGGTAACTATTTTAGGCTTTGAGGCCAAATAGTCTCTTGCCCTCCAGGTCAGCTCTGCCATTGAGTCACTAAAGTAGTCATAGATGATGCATAAATAAGTGGATGTGGCAATGTTCCTTTAGAACTGCCTCACACGGACCGACACGTGGCACAGTGGTTAAAGCACTGGGCTCCCACGAGCCTGACCACGGTTAGAGTCCCAGACCTGGTTGCTTGAAAATCACAGAGGTGTGCATGTGTGTCCAGACCCTGAGGGGAGAATGGAGGAGGAGGGGTGGCTGCATGGCTAACCCCAAAAATCTTTCCCTCTCTGTGGCTCTCTGTTTCCATCTGGCGAGCACAGGCACCTGATGGCAGAAATCTGGAACAGAACGATTCGCTCACTACAGCAGTGGACCAGCTCAGGTCACGGTACTGTCTAAGGCCATGTAAAATCTCTCTGCTCTGTGACTTCTCTGTGTTCCCATGTGCCTGACTGGGACCGTTAATCCAGCCTGCACCAATAGGAAGCTCGCATTGTTAAACCGCTGTGTGTGCTAGGGGTCACGTTCTAACCCACTCTCCTCAGAACTCACAACTGTGTTCCCAAAGGTGGGTATTGTAGTCTCATTATATGGCAAACTATGGTGAGGTTCAAGTTCCGCCGACTTTCACGAGGCTATTAAGCTGTCGAGTCTGGATGTAACTGCGTCTCTCTGAGTCTCTTCTCGCTCCAGGATCCTGTCTTTCTGACCACTGTCATGCAGACGTACTGCTTTTCTCCCTGATCCAAACCTCCCTGGTTGTTTACTGCCTCTCACTCTCTATGTCCTTTCATATTAGATAAGGCAGAGCGATGTAACCCCAGGCTATGAGCGAGTTTCTCCACAGCAGAGCTTCAGTAGAATGACTCACTCCATCCTCATTGCCCAGAACTGCCCCAAGGGGATCTTTGTGATGATGGTCAAGCAAAGAAGCAGACAATCTCAGATTAAAGTGACCGTAAGATTGGGCTCAGAGTTGTTGTCTGAAGCTATGACTTTCTGAGGGTACACTTGATTTTTATCATCATTATGTATATTATTCATGAGTTTCTGAGAGAGGGAGAGACCTTCCAGAGGGTCTCACCCCATGATCTGGCCCTGGGTCTGCAGCCAGCAGCCAGCCAAGATCCCGCACGTGCCCATGAGCACACCAGCTTGTTTAGGGGAACCTTGGGACGTGGCCCCATGGCCTCCCGTGTGGCCCCTA